TTTAATGCCTGTGGTCAAAGTATTTTTGCTATTATGTTGAAAATAGTGCGTAGCTTCTGAGAGTGTTCAATTAGAAACAACAGTATTTTGTGAAATCCTAAAAGACTATTCTGGATGAATTGTACCTCTACAGAATATGAAGCATATCTCTAAAAGTGAGATTAACTTAAAATTAAGGTGGACACATGAAAATGTTAAGTGGAAAAGAATGTTATCTCAGCTGATGACCACCATGTAAGAGGCAGTATGGATCAACAATAAGAATAATATCAATACCATACTGCTATGTTAATATAGTAGGCAATGTTTACTGACAAAACATTTGTGCCAGGGGGTGCCTGGGTGGCTCATTGGTTGAGTGTCTGACTCTTGGTTTTGGCTGAGGTCATGATCTCAGGGTGGTGGGATGGAGCCCCACATTGGGCTCTTCAGTGTGCTTCAGATTCTTTCTCCTTCCCTCTCCATCCCTCCCTGCTAGCTCTCTCTCTCAAATAAATAAATAAATCTTTAAAAAAACATTTGTGCCAGGCACATTATTGCTTCTGAGAATGCAGAGACAAGAAACTAAACAACTGCCTTCTCTTGTAAGGCTCAGAGTCTAGTGGGGACTCAAGGACACATGGACGAATAATTGCAACATTATCATTATCAGGGCAGAACTGGAAAAATATTTACAGCTCACTTGTAGTAAAATGACTGAAAAACAAATTTAAAAGACTTTAAAAGCCTTAGCTGTATGAACACTGTAGTTCATACCTAGACTAATTCTGTCAATCTGATACAGAGAGGGAACCTGATTCAGATGAAAGTTCCCCTCTGTTCCTTATTATAAATAAGCCTGGCATTAGTTTATTGGGTGATTGAAGTTGAAGTAGCTGGACTATTTTGCCAAAATGATCAGGATAAGTAGTTCAATTATTCACTTCACTTGCCTGTGAAGACTTCAGAGTGCCGTGGTCTAATGAATGAAATAAATGTCAACTTAGGAGATTTGTGTTATTAAAATATGTTAATATTGAATATAACTTTAAAACCAACATCTTTGGAGTGTTTTCCATTTACAGGCATATCTCATTTTATTGTGCTTTGCAGATACTGTTTTTTACAAATTGACGGTTTGTGGCAACCCTGGGTCAAGCAAACAGCATCTTCCCACTTAGTGTCTGTGTCACATCTTGGTGATTCTCATAGAATTTCAAACTTTTTCATCATTATTATATTTATTATGGTGTTCTGTGATTAGTGATTATGACTTGCTTAAAGCTCAGATGATGGTTAGCATTTTTTTTAGCAATGCTTTTAAATTAAGGCTTATACATTATGTTTTAGACCTATTACTGCATACTTAATGGACTACAGTATAGTGTAAGCATAACTTTTATATGTACTGGGAAACCAAAAAATTCATTTGATTCACTTTATTGCAATATTTGCTTTATTGTGATTGTCTGGAACTGAACTCACAGTATCTCCAGGGTGTTCCTGAATAGGCAATATGCTGTTTCTCCCACTGGTTTGCTGGGAAAAAAATTTTCTTGTTTCTTCAGTGATACAATGCCCCCAAGCTACTGCACAGCTTTGAATTAGAAAAAAAAAAAAAAAGGTTAAAAAAACAGTAAAGGATTAGAAATCCAGGGGCGCCTGGGTGGCTCAGTTGGTTAAGCATCTGCCTTTGGCTCAGGCCGTGATCCTGAAGTACTGGGATTGAGTGCCGCATCTTAGCCCCACATCATCACATCATCTGGCTCCCTACTCAGTGGGAAGCCTGCTTCTCTTTCTCCCTCTGCCACTCCTCCTACTTGTGCTGTCAAATAAAATCTTTACAAAAAAAAAAAAGATTAAAAATTCACATAAACATAGCTTCAGTTACCTTTCTGTCAAGTAGGAAAGAGATAAATGGTTTGCTGGGACCAAGGCATCAAACTAAAAGACAGTGATTTGCCTTAAAATGTATTAGTCTTCCTGGACTTGCTGACCTGAATACACAACTGTGAAAATGTCCAAAAACCAAGGAGATGGGATTGGGATCACTGTATTGTAGGAAGTGAGAGCATGGACACAGGTATGTACATTCACCAAATACTTCTGGTTTACCTGGCTTGCTGCTAGGCATTTGATAGCAGCTCTTGGTTGTGGGATCATGTGATTCTTTCTGGCCAGTGGGGTGTGAGCACACATGTGGCAAGTCTCTCTGGGGTATTTGACTAGAGATACTCCCTAGTTCTCTTTCCTTATAATAATCAGCAACACAGGAGATATGGTTTCTTCATCAGCCTTAATCTACTGACTGCTGTAAGCATAGCCCTCTGCTGAACCACAATGGACGTGTATCATTTAAGCAGAGCATTGGCAAACTTCTTTCTGTAAAGTAGGAGTATTTTAGGGTTTGCACACCATACTGTCTCTGCCACAACTACTCAACTCTGCTCTGCTGTGGCATGAAAGCAGCCATAGAAAACATACACATGAATGGGTGTGGCTGCATCCCAAAAAAGCTTTACAAAAACAAAAGGCCACTTGGCCCTGGACTTGCAGACCCCTGTTTTAAGTCACAGACCTTTTAGGATTGTTACTGCAGCATAAGCTAGCCTACATTGATATACTGGGGCTGTGAGATGCCCGCCCTCAAGTGAGAATCTTTGTCACCTGTGTTGTCATCTTTCCTTTTTCTTTGAAGAAAAGCCTAAATTAGCTGACCATAGCTTATACTTCTATGATGGTTACTGTATGATGTGCCAGTGAAAGGCGGAGGAGACCTCTCCTTCTCACAAGCCCTCTTCAGCTCAAACCCAAATCATTCATTAAGAGGTCTCCAAATCATTGGTTTCCATACTTTAGAATCATGGTGGGGGGGGGAGAGGGGGCTTGTGTGTATGTGTGTGATGGTGTTAAAAACGGAGTGCTGTGCTCCATCTCTGGAGTTTCTTGTCCATCTGGGGAGAATTTGTCTAATAGAATCTTTCATGTCTGATCTTAAAGACATTGGTTAAGTTCTAAGGAATAAAGCGGTGATTCCCCCCCCCCCCAAAGTTCAATGTGCATGTAAATCAGCTGAGGATCTTGTTAAAATGCGGATTGATACAGTAGGCCCAGGGTAGGGCCTGAGGTTCTGACAGTGGTAGTAGGCAGGGTGAGCATACTAAGAGATGCAAGGGATTAAAGGATTTTAAGTCTTCCTTTCCAGCCTCTGGGCCTAGCAGTGCAGGTGCTTCAATCTTGAATAACCTTAGGCCAATTTTGACTTCTTTCGCACCTTACAATTTGTTGGCAAATTCTGTTGGTTCTATTATCACGATACAGAGCATCCAGCCACACATCCTTGCCACCTTCACTGTGACGCCCTGACCTTGGCCATCACCGACTCTGGGCCATATTATTTCAACAGCCTCCTGACTGGGCTCCCACCTTGGGCGCTCGCCCCACTGGCCCTCTCACCTCTAATCCACCCACAACGGTAAATTCTTTACACAGCAGCAGGAGGATTTCTTTTAAAACCCAGGTTGACCAGTCACTCCCCTGCTTAACATGAAAACTATGGATTTCACTCGGCAAAGGCCAAAGTCCTCGTGATGGCCGGGGCGGGCTCCAAAACACGGCACCTGTTTTAAGTCCTTGACCTCTTCTCCTACCTTGCTTCAGCCGGTGGCCTGCTGGCTGTTCTTGAGCCCAGCGAGCGCGCTCCCATCTCAGACCCCGACACCTGGGTGTCCCCTCTACCTGGAAAATCCTGCCTTCAAGGTTAACTGCGTGGCATCCTTCCACGCGTGTCCTTCAATCTTGCCTCAGGCGCCCCTAAGGGCTCTTCCTGACCACCTATCCGGGAGGCTCTTGACTTCCTCTCTGCCGTTCCACTATGGGACCTTCGCTTTTCTTTTCCACGCTTAAGATGAAATTCCGCGAAGATAGTTTCGTTTTGTTCACAATGCCTAGCACTAGAGAGCTCCCAACACGTATTCAGGTGCGCAAGAACACCTGGACGGGGGGGGGGGGGGGGGGGGGGGGGGGAGCCCAGGGTGCAGCGCCGGGGCCTCGGGGCTGCGGCTCCCAGGAGGCCCTGATTCCCCAGGGAACGCTGGGCTTCCGTGGAGCCCTCTTCAAAAACCCCTTTTCCGAGAATTTGAATTATGCGCTGGTCATTTACTGTTGTCAGACATTAGGTGGCTGAAGTTCCCCGTTGACTGGGGTCTTTAATCCATTTTCTTCCCCCGCTTCGCCCGTGTTGGGTTCACTGTCCACCCCCCGCCCCCGCTTCAACGACAGGACGGGTCGGTCTGTCTTACCCTCTTGGAGAAGGTTCTTTTTTTTTTTTTTTTTTTTTTTTGTATTCATGCAACGCTCTCTTTTTAAAGAGTATCAGGTAAATCCGAGACAAAAAAGAAAACAAGAGCCTAATTTGTTAATACCCGGGCTTGTCGGCTAAGGGTCGTCTTAAGGTACGGAGGGGATGGCTTTTAACCCGAGTCCGGAGCCGCGGGTTCCACGCAGGGCTCCTAGGTCACCTGCCGGGTGCATGTTTTGTGCGGAAAGCGGCGGAACCGTCTTTTTTTTATCGAGACACCTTCCGGGGTGCGCGCGTGTGCTGGCCGTGCACGCGGCAGGGCTCGTGCACCAGGCGCCGCGCGCACCCCTCGCCTGCAGGCACCTTTGCCCCCGCGCCCCCCCCCCCCCGCGGGCTCCGCACGGGGCAGGCGCCAGCTCCCGGCCAGCGGCTTGACACCTATTGTCCCCGCTGGGGTGCCCGGCGACCCCGCCTGAAGGACCCCAGCCGCGCCGCCCGCGAGGCGCCGCCCCGCAGCCCCCGCGGCCCCGCGCCCCGCGCCGAGCGGGCGCCCCCTCTCTGACCCCGCGGGCCGGCGGCGGGCGCGGGGGCGGCGGGACGAGGCCCGGGCCGCCCTTCCCCGCAGGCGTTCGCGCCGGGCAGCCCGAGCGGCGGCGAAGGCCCCCTCCGCCCCGGAGGGCCGGCCGCCCAAGTCCCGCCCGCTCGCGGCTCTCCGCCTCACTAGCGGCGGCGCTCGGCGCGGCGGGGACAGGGCGGAGCGGCCTGCGCCCACGGAGCGCACGACACTGCCCGGGACGCGCAGCCACCCCCGCCCCCTCGGCCGCCCCCTCGGGACCTCCCGCGGCCTCCGCGCGCGCACGGTGAGCGCCACCCGGACCGAGGCGCCGACGGGGAACACGGCCGCTGCCCCGAGCTGCCCCGAGCTGCCCCGAGTGCCCTTTCCCCGCCCCCCGCCGCGGGCCGTCACCAGCGCCCTTCTCCTCCCTCCTCCCTCCTCCCGCCCCCCTCGGCGGCGGGGACCGTTGCCCTGGCCGTTGGCGGCCGGCGCTGCCCGGCCCCGCCCCCGGCGCGAGCCTCGGTGCCCCGGGGCGGGTAGGCCGGCGGGGGGCGGGGGGCGGGGCCGGGCCGGGCCGGGCGCCCCGCTGGCGGGTCGCGCGCGCGCCCTCGGTGTCTTCCTGCCCGGGCGGCGCGCGCCGGCCCGTCCCCGCCCCCGCCCCGCCCCGCCCCGCCCGCTCGCGCAGCCTCCCGCCCGCTGCGCGTTTTGTCCCGCGTCTCGCCCCGTCCGCCGCCTGACTCGCCGCTCTCGTCCTTCCTCTCTCCCGCTTTTTCTCGTCTCCTCTCCCGGTCTGAAGATGCCGTCGGCCACCAGCCACAGCGGAAGCGGCAGCAAGTCGTCGGGCCCGCCGCCCCCGTCGGGTTCCTCCGGGAGCGAGGCGGCGGCGGCGGCGGCGGCGGCGGCGGGGGCGGCGGGGGCCGGGGCGGCTGCGCCCGCCTCCCAGCACCCCGCGACCGGCACCGGCGCTGTCCAGACCGAGGCCATGAAGCAGATCCTCGGGGTGATCGACAAGAAACTCCGGAACCTGGAGAAGAAAAAGGTGCCAGGAGCTGGCGGGGGCGGGGGGGCTGGATGCTCCGCGGCCCCGGCGCAGCCCCCGCACCCGCACCCGCACCGCACCGCACCCACGCCGCGCCCCGCCCCGCCCCGCCCGCGGGCTGCTGCGGGAGGTGCCTGTCACCTGGGCCGGCCGCTCGTCGTCGCCTCCGGCCTCGGGGCTGGGACGTGTGAGGCCGGGCGCGTCCTGCCGCCGGACCCGCGGTGATGCCGGCTCTCCGCCCCGAGGGCCCGCGGGGAGGGTGCGGGGGTGCGGGGAGGGGCCCGGGGCTGCCCCGGGCCTGCCGGCGGCCTGCCCCCCGGAGCCTCGCCGGGGACTGCTTCTGCACCAGGCCCGGCGTTGAGTGGGGCCTCGACGTGCCGCGCACCCCCGGCGCCCCCGTCCGACGCGCGCCCCCACGTTTCCTTCTTTGTTCCGATTGTCTAGGTGCCCCCCCCCCCCCCAGCCTCACGCTCAACTCCATCCCGAGATTCTCCGCAGCGGCTCCCTGCCCCTCCGGGACCGCACAGGGCGGGGGGAGGGGGGAGGGGGGCCGCCCGGAGGGGGGCCCGCCGGGGGGCGTGGGGCCGGCCGGGGCCGAGGGGGTGGCGGGGCCCGCGGGCACATGGAGAGCGCGTCTAACATGGCGGCGGCCGCGAGCGGAGGGAGCGCTGTGCAGGAGCTGCATTGTGAGCACAAAGCGAAAGCGGGGGGGAGGGCAGGCACCGGGCGGCCGCCCCGGCCGGCCCTCCGCGCCCCCCTCCGGGAAGCACGACAGCCACACCCACGAGCTTTTGGACCCAGTGGTTAGCCGTGCTAGGTCGCCCCGTGAGTTCATCTTCAAGCAGGCCTTTTGTTTCGCGCTCTCCGCGCAGGACAGTGCACCTACTGTTCAGAGGGACACGTGTGTGCGCGCGCGCGTGTGTGCGTGTGTGTGTGTGTGTGTGTGTGCGCGTGTGTGTGTGCGCGCGTGTGTGTGTGTGTGCGCGTGTGTGCGTGTGCGCGCGCGCACGTAGGGAGAGGGGCTCCGCGGAGTGAGTCAACCATTCGGCCTCCTGTAAGGCTGGAGGTGCAAAGGGAGAAGCAAATCGATTGCACAAAACACGGGGTGATTACGTCTGTAGCTACTATGCAAACTTTTTTGCCTTTTATCTTAGAAATTATAACTTTGCATGACTTGTGCTTGTCCTCTTCTAGTGAAACGAATTTATCATAACATCCTGAATTTTGACCAAGTACTTTAAAAACGTTTATTTAGCCATCCACCTAATCGTATTACTTCAGATGTTGAAGCTGGATGAAATTTGGGCCGCAGCAAAGAACTTGAAGAAAATGGTGTAGGCCTTAATTATCTTAGTGCTTGTCCAATGATTTTATGGTTTGGGGGGAGTTTTAAAACAAACATTTTTGGATTCGATGCGAATCGGCCTCATTTTCTCTATTTGGGAATTTTACTTGAATTTTTTAGGTTTTATTTGAAATCCAGACATGCACTACTTGTAGATGTCTACCTTTTGGTAATACTTTATTTTGATAAATAAGTGTGGTTTATTACAAATGACAAATACTAAATTTATCAGTGGCAACAAAAGTATTTTACTTGTAAAGTAGCTATATTTAAATATGGAACATGCATGTCCAAGGCCAGTATCTTCTGAGTCAGCCATGTAATTTAGTATTGCTACTCTGATTTTGAGACTTAGGTGTCTTTTTAAATCCTCTTACTACAATAAGCAATCCTGTCAAGGTGGTTGATGCCTGAGTAGTTTAATTTTCAGAATTCTTAGGAATGCGTGCCTTCTTTTAGGATAGGAATCAAAAGATAAATAGTAACGATGTAATATTGTAAGTAAAGACTTTTAAATGTAGATATTTATATTTTACCGACTGAAAAATAATTTTTCTGAGTCCTTAGTGTAAAGTCAGGCACTGATTAGCAGCCAGGTTAGTTACAAAGTGACCGAGTCTAGTGCTCCAAATGTGTATGAGAGTTTAGCTTATAAGGCCCTATGAGGACTTGACAGTGACAGGTCACTCATGTGTGTGGATTTATATATGTTGCCTAACACCAGCCCCTGTTTTAACCACCCCCCACCCCCCTTATAGAGAAGAAAGTAATGTAACTGTTACTACAGAGATTATAGACTAGGCTAGTAAGTACTAAAAAGTTCCCTTGTATTGGTGGAGAAAAAAAACTACACAAAGTAACAAAAGTACTTCATATCTTTTTCCCCCCCCCTATCTTCTCAGTGTTTTGGGTGCTAGTGGAAGGTCAAATTACAGTTAAGTGAGGTTTTTTGGTAACTCAAAGGATGAGCTACCTACTTGTTAAATAGCTAAGTTTACATTACTGATGTTGTGACTCAATTACTATTGAAATTGAATTTTAACTTTCTGAGAAACTTAAGGCATTTGGATTTTTCTCTAAGCATATCTGGTTTCTAGTTTAAATTGCATTTTTTCTCTATCTAGATGATTTACTGTGTGAAAGGTTTTAACTGTGATTTTGTAATAGCGTTTCTGATACACCTAAAATAGGATTTACTTTTTACAAATCAATTTTGAACCTTTGTAGAAATCTTTATGCAGTATAAAGTAAGGTGGTATTTTTAACTGGATATCTTTTTATTTCAGTCCACGTAGCAACTTCTATTTGAGCTGTATTTCAGGCTTGCCCTATTCATGAGCCTACTGGACAAAATCTCTTTTTTAATGGATTCTAAAATCAAGTATCCTGACCAGAATTACTTCTAGATATGTAGTGTTACTTTAAGACTTGGAGAATTGCAATAATTTTGTTGCATTGCATTTAAAACACAAAGTTATTTGTTAATTTTCTAATAAGTTGAGCCCTGAGGGGAAAGCTAAGCATCTGTTCAGTGAGAATGCATGCTTAACATTAATGAAATATGATCCTATTATGTAATGCAACTAAATGGTCTGGTAGTTTTTGAAATTTGGGCTTATGAAGACTTGGTGTGTGTTTAGCAAAGAGGAGAAATGAAGCTATAATCAAAAGAATGAAGTGCAAAACTCCATTTCCAGATCTTTTAACTTTTATAAGTAATAATTATTTGAGTGATTGCCTAGTTTTCTTCATCAGTTTGTTGGTATAGAACTAGGCTCTAGGCTATACAAGACAGGATTTTGAAACCAAGCCTTCATTTTAACTGAAGAGGGAGCTCATTTATATGGTAAGATGTAATCAGTTTTGATGTAGAATAAAGACACTAGTTATTTTGGTAGGTGAAAGATTAACCAGTGTTCTCTTGCAAAACAGCCTGAGAGCTTTGTAACCAATATGTGACCAGAAGTGATAGCCAAAATGTCCTGTTTTTCATACTGTTCCCTAGAGTCTATTTGCTCTTTGTATCTTTTCAGTTAATATACTGAAAAAAGGATGCTGTCATTGTTAGAGAAGATAACATTTCCTTTCAGAGCACTGCAGTGTGCCTCTACTTAGAATTCTCAATGCAGCTGTTCTATAGAATTTCTTTGTTAATAAGTATGTTGAAATAAAAATATTCTTAACTATTTTGTAAATAAAATCTTTTCTTGGGGCTAACATTCGAAGTTCTTGACAGTTAAAAATCTCTGATGTATTCGCTTCTCCCATTGGTTGCATGAACTATTTCTCTGCAATGCAGAGGGCAAGATTACTTTGTTTTGCATTCACCTTGTCACAGGAAAAAAAAAAAGAATTTATAATGCTTCATTTGTTTCTCTCTGCCTGCCTGGGTGTGTTGTGTGTTTGTGTGTGTGTGTGTGTGTGTGTGTGTGTGTGTGAGAGAGAGAGAGAGAAGTATTTAAAATTTGAATTTAAGAAGGAAAAGATAAGAATTTCCTCGTGTGCTAACATGGGTATCTTTTTGGCATGAGAGTAGAATTCCGAGTATTGTAATGAGGATGAATTGGTTTAATCTGACCACTGTTATTTTACTGTAGATAATTCCCACGTGGCAAATGCTTCTCTCCGAATACATTTTGTGTGACTTAGAGGTTAAACATACAGTTTGTCAGAGTTTTATGTAATTAATGTCACAGTTTATATTTAGAACTAGAGGAAGATTAGTACTGTTTAAAAAAAATTAAATACTTTCATATGTTAAAATTACAACAACAGGGTGTTAATTTTGTTACTATATTGTTAGTAGAATCTAAGATATTTTAAGATCTTACAGTCCTCTTAGCATTTGGTCAAATTCATTTTACAGAAGAGTAAATTGAGATGCTCAGGTAAAAATGACCCAATTTGGGTCAGTGAGTGAATTCCAAGATCTCTTATATTATGGGGGTAATTAGAATTTTAATGCTCTGCAACATATAAGTGATTTTTCATGTTTAAGCTGATACAAAACCAAGTGAGGCCTTTTACTTTAAGTCTTTTAATTGGAGTTCCTCTGTTTTAAAACACTGAAAGCAAAAAGAAAAAGCTTTTTATTTCTTCATTGTTAGACTCTTACTAGTATCTTGTTAAATTTGTGTTTGTAGGCTGTTCAGGTAGTGAGATCCTGAGAATAACAGTGTAGGTAAAGTCCCATAGTATCGTTGGGACATCTGTATTGTAATAAAATGAACTTTTAAAGTTAAATTCTGAAGTGTCTATGCATAGGTAAGTCCGAAACCCACATTTACTCTTCTTGACTCAGTCTTGGTATGTTGTAGACCAGGTAATTTGGGAAAAGCATTACCAGTGGGAGGAAGTAGAGGAGGTGTGTCAACCGTTCCATCTTAATTCTTGTATTCCAAACTTCTGGGTATTTTTTAGTAATTGGTCCCTTTTTGGGGGGGCAACGAATTGTATGTAAGCAATAGAGAAGAATGAGAGAGTAGCAGGAGAGACATTCAGCCAAAGTTGGAATTGTAAATTGCTCTGCTTCTGCTCATTTCTTTATCTCTCCCACTAGTTACTCCGGTGCTTTTGTTGGAGTATGAGCGCAAAAACATACATGAAAGACTATTGGGCAGAGTTCAGAATTCATATTTCCTGAGGAAAAGGGAAG